ATAGATTTTCTTAACATTACGAGGCGTGTTTTATTCTTTGTGTATTTGTGTGCTCCTACTTATATGTGTTTATTCCGCATTATTTATTGGCATCATTATTTCTAATTGTATTAAGTGTGTACCGGTACGACATCTGCCATACTGTAAGTTGAAGATTGTAATTTTATTTTATTTTATTTTGTAATTATCTTTAGACATAATAAATCTTAATTAATTGTAACTAGAAACTGTTTTGGGTCGTATCTTTAATAATTGTTGATTCTATGGTATCGTCCTTTGTTAGGCACTGTTTACATCGAGCCAAATTAAAATTAAAATAGGAGATTAATTTCTCCCAATACAAGTCAGTGCGTAACAGTGGGTGCGCAGATCGCTAATGAGGCCGATTCTGGCACGAAATTCTCTTGTGCAGTAGGTGCAGGGGAATGATGGCACATCCCCGGGAGCAGAGTCAGACCGGGCCTTCCTGGCATGTCTCAGCAGCCGCTGTTCTGCCAACTTCATGTTGCATGGAGCTCCCGTGCAAAGTGGAACGCCATGAAGTTCGATCCTTCACGTGTCTGGGTCTATGTTGAGCGCTTTCAGTGAAGCTTTTATGTTGTCTTTAAAGCGTTTTTTTTTTCTATACATACAGAAGTACCGAACAGCTGTTGAGAAATTGACCACACGGAATACCGGGATGTTTTATTAATATTTTAATGAGATTGACCAGACTGTACGCCTGGATATTCTATTAATAGCTTTCCGCCATTATGTGACCAGCCCTATAAGAAAGAATATCAACAAATTAAGAGTTCTAAATCCCAGTCAAAATAAAAGTTATTCATTTTTTGTTTCTATAATTTTTTAATTCCTTAGCCTTAGGGGTCTTCCGTCGATTTCGTCGCTTTGGGGGGGGGGAGTATTTGTGACACTTGGTGACAGGGGGAGGGGGCTGGGGTCAAAATTGTCGACGTCACAAAATTTTTAAAAATATTTAATTTTCTAATAATAAAAAAAATTATTCAATTAATTAGGGGTTAGGGGTTGGGGTTAGGGTTAGGGTTAGATGTGATGATATATACTGATACCTATACATATATCTGTACATGTAGGGATACGTATGTAGATACATACATCAGTATTAGGCTTAGGGATAGGGTTAGGGGAGTATTTGTGACACTTGGTGACAGGGGGAGGGGGCTGGGGTCAAAATTGTCGACGTCACAAAATTTTTAAAAATATGTAATTTTCTAATAATAAAAAAAACTATTCAATTAATTTGAGGTCGAAATTGCCTCAGGTATTGTAGGTACCGTGAAACTCAGTTGCGCACACCTTCTGCACACATCGAAAAAAGACGCAAAAACATATTAATCCATTATGGGGGAATGATAAAGAAAAAAATAAAATCTTAGTTATAATTTTTTTTTATGTTTTTAGGTGTGACGTGACACTAAGGGGGAAAAAAAGTGTGACACTTTGTGACGGGGAGGGGGGGGGAGGTCTGAAATGGTCATTTTTTGCGTGACGTAATTTGCGAACGACCCCTAAGCCAAAATAAGATGTTTTGTTGTCATGTGGTAACGAAAACGGTCACATGATCGGGGTTCAAATCTGAGAAAAATGATTGTTATTTTTTTTTTTTTAAAGTCTAAATTAATGTAGGCGCCAAATGCATCCCATCAATTTGAATTTAACCAAAGATTTCTGAAATTTTACCCCCACTCCCCCACGGAAAATATTATCTGAAAGAAACTGGTCACAACGCACAGGCCAACCTCAGCCATAATGCTATTCAGAACATTACTTGAAAGTAGGCCAACATCAGCCATAATGCTATTCAGAACATTACTTTAAAGTAGGCCAATCTCAGCCATAATGTTATTCAGAACATTACTTGAAAGTAGGCCAACCTCAGCCATAATGCTATTCAGAACATTACTTGAAAGTAGGCCAACCTCAGCCATAATGCTATTCAGAACATTACTTGAAAGTAGGCCAACCTCAGCCATAATGCTATTCGGAACATTACTTGAAAGTAAACTAAAGCCAGCTGATCCCAGGAAAAGCGGTGCCCATGGCTCACTAGTCAAATGATTTTGCCGCCCCGTCTATGTGAAGTACATCAGATTTTATCGTTTAATTATTAATTCATTATTAAGGGCATATCTTAAGACGAGTTTGCCGCCTCCTGATATTGGCGACAGGGGTTGCTGGCCCTCTTGCCCCTTCCTTCGCACGGTCCTGAGTATATAGAGGGTTAGGAGCCTCAGTTCTTTACTGTGCCTAGGGCCTCCGCTGCTGTAAATACGGCCCTGAACTCGCTGTCTGTATACTTGGAACCATGCAACCCGCTGTCTGTATACTTGGAACCATGCAACTCGCTGTCTGTATACTTGGAACCATGCAACTCGCTGTCTGTATACTTGGAACCATGCAACTCGCTGTCTGTATACTTGGAACCATGCAACCCGCTGTCTGTATACTTGGAACCATGCAACTCGCCCAATTTATGGGTGCACATAACATGTACAACATTTAGTAACAGAAATTTTTGAATGCATGCGCCACTCTTGTCTAGTCACCCATTGTTTTCTCGATTCTTGTGCTAAACTATTTCGTTAATCAAGGTAACCAAGTGTTTTGTTGACCATTTTAAGAAGATCAAAAACCGTAATTACCAGATTACCAGATAAAAAATTTCCCATGACGCTTGAGGTAGGTGGACATGACAAGTTCGAATATGAGACAACTGAGACAAGTCTGTAGTTAGAAGCATTTATATTTTATGATCTGCGAATGCACATAACCAAATAATTTGACCCTGACAGCTAATTTTTTAACAGTACCCGGTACTTTTTATGACAATCACCTAGACCAGGGGTCGGGAACCTATAACTCGCGAGCCAGATGTGGCTCTATTGACGGCTGCATCTGGCTCGCAGATAAATGTTCGATTATTAAAAAAAAAATGATTCTTTAGACTCCTTTGATCTCCATATTAATTGCATATCAATATTTCATTCTACAAATGAACTAAAGTCCACTGCAACTCACCATCAGAAGTGGTAAGGGAGATAAACTCCGCTGAACTAAAAGTTTTAGTGTTGTAATTACACAGAATGCACATTGACTGGAATTTTTAGTTTTAAACATAACGTATGGCTCTCACAGAATTACTTTCCAAAATATGTGGTGTCCATGACTCTCTCATACAAAAAGGTTCCCGACCCCTGACCAAGACCAGTGGTTCCCAAACCACTCTAGACTTTTAGTTGACAACTGATGTTTTGATAACATCTTATCTGGTCATTTATCTGAAATACAAAAACTTTTCACTCCTTTGATGACATAATTACTTGTACTCATAACAGATTTTTTTTTTAATTTGCTAACTAATAACATAAAGAAAAAATTATAAGAGGGGACAGACTGTAAGAGAGGACAAACTGTAAGTAAGAGAGGACAGACTGTAAGAGAAGCCAGACTGTAAGAGAGGACAGACTGCAAGAGAAGCCAGACTGTAAGAGAGGATAGACTGCAAGTAAGAGAGGACAGACTGCAAGAGAAGCCAGACTGTAAGAGAGGACAGACTGCAAGAGAAGTCAGACTGTAAGAGAAGTCAGACTGTAAGAGAGTACAGACTGTAAGAGAGGACAGACTGCAAGAGAGGCCAGACTGCAAGAGAGGACAGATTGCAACAGAGAACAGACTGCAAGAGAGGACAGAATGCAAGAGAGGACAGAATGCAAGAGAGGACAGACTGGAAGAGATGACAGACTGCAAGAGAAGCCAGACTGTAAGATAGGACAGACTGTATGTTACAGAGGCCAGATGCATCATGACAGCCCTAATGAATATCTAGATATTTCTGCCATGATATAAAGCAACTATTAGGAAAAGTTTTGTTTAAAGTTTACACAAGGCTTTGTAAGGCCAACACTTGAAGTCTATAATTTACAATTGTATAATGTTTATTACTGGTATTGCAAGTGTCTTCTCTGGAACAAGCTTCTCTTTTTGTCAATGTACATTTTCAGCTGTTCATTCAATAAATAACAATGTGAAGACAACTCGTTTTCAAGGATCATTTTTAAGATTGGATTTTTAGTTTCATTTTCAAGTAAACATTCAATTAAATTCAAATTACATTATTGGATAAAGTTTTGGAAATGATCGAGCAAATTCAAACATAACTAAAGATCACCATGTAACTTTTAACAATAAAACCGAGTTTAAAAATATGATAACAAAATTTTTTTTTATGAATCCCCCTAAACTGTACACAAACAGTGCAGATCTTCCTTAGTCCCTAAACTGTACACAAACAGTGCAGATCTTCCTCAGTTTTAAAAATAACAAATTCCTTGGAAATACCGGCATCCATTGAAAGGTCAGATGAAGCAGAAGACACAGACACATTCAAATCTTCTGGTGCTTCAGACATCAGACATTCTACCGTAGACACACCTTCTGTTATGTTCTCCCTCCTCAGAAAACTCAGTGGAACTCTCTTCAACTCTGGAGCAGCCTGCAGTGCGGTCATCTGGAAGCTGAAAGTCTGGGACCAATTCAGCTTCCCATTTTTATAATAGTTCATGACAGCGAGAGTGAAGCTGGCCAGCGGTTGGTTCTCTGTGAATGCATCTATCACAGACACTACCTCCAAGCAGTGGTGCAGCTTACTCATAATATCATACAGGGTACACAACAGGTTAAGGCTGAGCTCCTCAATATTCATAATGTCATCAAATGTCGGGGTCAGAGCATGAAAGAACAAGGACCATTGTTCTGATGTGCATAACTTGTTGTTGATGAAGATAGACCTGTAGTGCTTACGCATTTTCTCCAGCCCAATCTCAGCAATGAGCTGCAGGGGCAGTTGTCCAGTCAGCGATGGGAAGGAGGCCATGCCTGAATAAGACTGCCTCACCAATTTGGCTAGCGTCGTCTCGTTATCTTTGTGGATGAACGCCTTGATCCCACCCCTCCTCAGCTCACAGAAAATGAGATTCAGACTTTTAACCATTTCTGTATAGTGAGAAGACGAGCCGATGATGGCCCAGAGTTCATCAGTAAAGTCTGATTCGTAGCCAGAGTCTAAAGATAAATGTTTGGCGGCACCACTGAGCATACCAGAACGAGATGATGCTTGCCTGTGATCCTTGACTACTCTCTGTTGTCCCAAGTTGCTAGCCTGTTTCAAGTAAAAATAAAATTAGAATAAAAGAAAGGGCCATCCATAGATCTTATACATTGCATGGGAGAGAAATCAAAATTTTTTGCTATACAACATCTTTTATTTGGCAAACTCAACACCTGAAAATATTATTTTATTCTGGCTCAGTGGTCAGATCTTTCAATGCTAACTTTCTGGCTCAGAGGTCAGATCTTTCAATGCTAACTTTCTGGCTCAGAGGTCAGATCTTTCAATGCTAACTTTCTGGCTCATTGGTCAGATCTTTCAATGCTAACTCTCTGGCTCAGTGGTCAGATCTTTCAATGCTAACTCTCTGGCTCATTGGTCAGATCTTTCAATGCTAACTCTCTGGCTCAGTGGTCAGATCTTTCAATGCTAACTATTGATAATGTCAGCTGCCGTTACATGTGTAAAAATAACAGAGATGTGCTTTTAAAATATCACATACAATTTACATCTTCCACTGCTATACCAAAATATCCCACTGCTATATCAAAATATCCCACTTCTGTAAAGCAAGAGCAGAAAAAATTACATTACATTGAAAAGATTACCTTCATCAGTTATGTGCTAGATTTGTTAAATGCCAGCAGGACTGGTCTTAAGTAAATTATTTCAATAGTGCTACTCAAGATGGTTTCAAAAATTCATCAAAAATAATTCTCTCAACCAAGGGGACTTCAAGACAGCTCTAACTTTCAGGAGTCATTTCTTTCTTTTTCAAAAAAAAACAAAACAAGATCTAAGAAAACCATGAAAAAATTAAGTTGCCAGTTAAACATTTTCTGGCAACTTTGACCATGGTTTTGTCTAACCATAAATCTACACAACATAAAAAAAAAAGCAAAATAATTTATGCAAAATTAATTTAATGGTAAGGGCCATCCATACAGTATGTACACTAAGTGGGAGTTATCGATTTTTGAGAATTCGCATACATGTGCATATAGCGGGGAAGAGGGAGGTGTCTCGACAGCAAGAATGTTCATTTATTCACACTAAAAATAATAATTTTCCTGAAATTCTGACAGTCCATTAATAGACTATTTCTCTAATAGTGTCATAATATCACGCAATAATATTCACTTTGAAGCCACGATAAATGACATGACAAGTTTACAATAAGTGTGGGCGATGGCTCTTTATAGCAAGCCACCTATGAACTCACCGTGACTCCTCCCCCCCCCCCCCCCCCCCCAACCGGATGACTAGATGGTCCTTGTTGATCTAGAGTACGAACAACTTAACTTATGCTCTATATGCATGGTGTATTTAGTTACATTTGTTCTGCTACGCCAGTGGTTCCTATAATTTTTTTTATTCTCGGCGCCCATGGCCAATGTAGGTTTTCATCAGAAACACTATATCAAATTCTAACAGATACATTTTTTTGAGAAAGTTATTACATTTTTATTAAATAAAGGGCAACACTGCATCCCAGGTGAGTGCATATTTTGGGAACCATTGTGCTGTCTTAACAGTGATGAAAACCTGTGACACTTTTTTTTTTTACTGATACGTCATAATTATGTATTAATTTATTGGGGTGCACCTGTTGTGGGGATTCGACAGTTTTTTTTACGTACTTACTATATGGATGGCCCCCGAAACAGTTTTGTAAAATTGTATAAGTGGTGATTCAATTTTTTAATTGCCAAATGTAAGACATGATGGTTTCTAAAATTTAAAATATTTCAAGCTTCTTCTAAATTAACTTGAAGAAGTTATCAGATAATTATTTTTAAAAAGGATCACATCTTTGTTACTTCGACTAACCTTGACTTTCTGCAACAAATCTCCAAGTAGAGACAACACATTGACCTCTGTCAATGACAATACTTCTGGTAGCTCCCCTGTCTTTGCACTTTCAACAAAACCTTGAATTCTCTGAAGCTGGCAAAACAAATCAAACACTGGGCTTTGTTCACTACCTGTTGAAAGTAACAAATGTTCAATGATTAATTAATTTAATGATTAGCCTGCTGCTCTACACAACTAATTGAACTAATCAACTATTAGATTCTATAATTTATTAATAAAAAGATGCTTAATCGAAGTTGTTCATAAAATTTATTTTTAAACACACAGCCATTATAATAAACCTTTTAAACACAACAGGAATACATACAAGATTTCCTCACATCAGATCCTTCTAAAATATATTATTGGAGTTTACGGAGCTTTCTTATTTCATCTTAGCAAAATCTTAAAAGCAAGTAAAATATGCCATTCCTTGACTTTAAGCTTTATCTCTTGAGATAACTTATTGTAGCTAGAAAAGGCTAGTTAACTTGTTCTTAATCTTTGCAGCTGCCCTACCTGGAACTACAGTAGCCTGCAAACAAAATTCTGCTGCTTGAAGCTTTGTGAGTTTTGCTTGACCCAGTGGATCAAACCATTGCACTTGAAGGACAAGACTACCAAGACCATCTTTCTTGTCAAGTATTTGGTACTGGCTCACCATATGGCAACCCTTTCCTAGAATACCAAACACACAGATTTAATCATAAACAGACAAGTGGCAAGTTTCTCATGACACAATAACATTGGCTCTATGAGAATTTTCGGGCTTTCATAGGACTCACCATCAGAGAATTATGGAAATAATGTCAAGTCATTCTTTCAAATTATTTAACTGTCAATTTTTACATTCACAACAGCCAATCCTTTACAGATCAAATTTATAATAATATTTCCTTCGGGCCATTATTTTATTATTAAATGAGTAATATATCTGTACTTACCGGTATCCTCTTTCTGAAAATATTCTTCCAACAATGAGGCATTCATTATATTTGACCGAACAACGAAGACTTTTACCAAAAGTTTACTATCTTTGACTTCCTTATGAGCTCCAATCAAAACTGTTTGGTTTTTATCCTCGGCATCACAGAGAACAATCAACATAGGAATCTTAGGGGGACCAAAGACTTTAGCAGCAATGAATTTGTTCAATAATCTCCTCCCGTATTTGAGTGTTAAAGGAACCAACCTTTGCTTTTTACTAACACCAAGAGGTGTAGATGTACCGTGACTTTCCAAAGACAAATTGGCAATTTCCTGCAGTTTAAGAGGAGATCCCATCACACTTTTTTCTTCAGAGGGGGCTATTGTAGAGTTATCAATAGTTGCAAATGATTCATTCTCCTTAGGAGTGTTGGCAAGTTCATTGCACTGACTGGGCCCGGTAACAAAGAAGAAAGGTTTCTCTCTTAGATCATGACCCAGTAGATGCTGAATGACATCCTTCAAGTTTCCTCTGGTTTCATTAGTGGATAAGCCATCCGATGTGCCAACAATGTCAAGGCTGATTTCCCTTTTTTCCAGAAAATCATTGAGTCCTGTATCTAACAAAAGTTAAAAATTTAAATATTTGAGAGTTAAGGAACTTCAAAGCCCTCAAAATTGTGAATGGGAGTTTATCTGTAAATGTTTAGGCTATGTAAACTGTATGTTTCCTAGCCCAAGTTTACCACTTTTATTACTCTTAAACGGTAAAAACACCATATTAATATTAAATCCTTACAACAATTAATTAGTTGTGGTTGAACACCACTGACAAGTCTTAAGATGCAGGTTAAGTTTACAGTTAAGGCATTCAAGTGTTACCGTCATGTCATATCTTTTATATTTCCACATAAGGGCAATTTAGGCATATGCTTAAACTCCTTGAGACCATGAAGATGATCTATGGGTCCAAGAGTAAATGGCAAAAAAAGACAAAGGTCAGATCGATCTGTCCAATACTACAAGTCTCGAGATGGGCTGACTGGTCTTTGTACCAACAAAGCAGATTGTTTTTCTCATTTCTTGCTCATCTCATCAATTTAATGGCCGCTTTGATAGTTCATTGTGATCTCTCATTTTATATCAAATTTTATTTACCTAGTGACCCCTATGAATGCTTGAAATAAGTCAATAGTGGAAATATTATGCAGTTTTTCTCATTGAATCTAATTCGAATGTTTGTCAGGACTTATTATAGCTTCAACAATCAGAAAATTCAATAAAATTCTGCAAGTGAGATTAGATACTTGGATAAATTTTTTGCTAGTGACAAATTATTGCAGAGTTACATACCAATGGTTCAAATTTTTGTCCACTTGAAAATGTAAATGCACACGGTTTGCTGTCATTTCATTGTTAAATAGGTTGTGTGATATACATCAATTTGAAGAGAATTGGATGCTGAACAATATTACTGTTTTAATGATTTTTTATCAAGAATTTTTTGGGAAAAATAAATCAGGTTGAATTAAGCTAAGTCTACTATTTCATTTCCAGTACATTGTCAAACCCGTTGCAACAACCATAAATTTGGTACCAATAAAAAAATTTTTGTTCAAGCCCTATCTAAATAACTAGGACAAGGTCTTAAAGATATGACTTCAATTAGAAAAATTCTAGGTGAAAATAAATTGCATGCATAATTTATGCAAATCAGAATGTTGAGATTTTGGTTTGAATCATAAAGATCATATTTAGTATTATTAGTTCATTCAATTTCCTACTGGAACATTTTTAGTTTATTTTTTTTAAATATTAGTAAAGTACTAATATTTATTTTTTCCCAACCACTGTGACTGGCCTAGCCTATATTATATGTAGAGAAATATGGTAAAACAAAAAGTATAAGCATCAATTTCAACTATTTAATGAATAAAATAATCCTTATTTAATTTGTATATACTTATAGATGTTAAACAGTTCCACAGAAAATTTGAAATCATAATATATAAGAATATTTTAATTAGCATTATTTTTATTGGGAAATTTTAAAAATATATGTCTAAACAAAATAAATTAATTAAATACAAATAAGTTATAAGTACAGTCAGCAAATTTTATACATTTTAATTAGGAAAATTATAAAGATTTTTAAAATATTGTGCGCAGCATTAATAACTTAACTTATATTTTGGGCTTTTTTTAGAAGACTCTTATTTAACTATAATAATATGCTAAGGAAGCGCATGAAGGGACAGTCAGCATTGGTGGCAGAACAATCACCAACCTACGCTTTGTGGACGACATAGACGGATTGGCTGGGAACGAAGAAGAGCTAGCCAATCTGGTAAAGCATCTTGACAAGACCTCGTCTTCCTACGGCATGCTAATCAGTGCCTAAAAGACAAAACTGATGACAAATAACACCACAGGCATCACCACTGAAATTAAGGTCGGGGAGGAAAGACTAGAGATTGTAGGCTGCTTCAAATACCTAGGAGCAATAGTCTCAGAAGAAGGCTCCAAGCTCGAACTGATGTCCAGGATTGTGCAGACTACAACAGCACTAAATAGGCTCAAGAAAATATGGAATGACAAAAATATAGCCCCCAGCACCAAAATCAGGCTGATGCACTCATTAGTCCTCTCCATTTTCCTGTATGCATGTGAATCCTAAACAGCAGATCTTGAAAGGAAAATAAAGGCGATGGAGATGAGATGCTTCAGAAGCATTTTTGGCATCTGCTATAGGGACCATATCTCCAATGATACAGTGAAGGGAAGGGTTCGCCACGCAATTGGGGGGTAAGATGACCTACTGGTGACTGTGAAAAAATGCAAACTACAATGGTACGGCCACGTAACAAGGAAACGAGGGCTTCCTAAGAAATATTGCAGGGCACCACTGGAGGAGGGAGAAGAAGAGGAAGACAAAGAAAAAGATGGGAGGATAACATCCAAGAGTGGACAGGACTAACACTGGGCGATGCTGTGCGTAGTGCAGAAGACAGAGACGAATGGAGGAGGATAGTTCACATGTCATCTGTGCCGCCCCAACCTTCCAAGGACTAAGGGACATGATGATGATGAATATGTTTCCTGTAACTATTATATTTTTGTCCCATTTTATATTTTATAATAATAGTTATAGGTGTAAAAACAAAAGCAAAATATGGGTCAAGAAATGAAGAGGAAAGCTCCATCCATATTAATATGTTCGCTGAATTAACTTAATTACTTTATCTTTAAACTTTAGTTTTACTAAAAATTCATAACTTTTGACTTTGAACCACTTGAGCTAGAAATTTGATCTTAATGTTGCTGTTTTTTAAAGACCATCTACGCTAGGGTGACCAAACGTCTCGTAAAAATGGGATTGTCCCGTTTTTTCACGATAGAAACTTCCTAATTTATTTATATAACTTCAAGTAATATTTTGGCTAGCAGTGTAGTCAGTGCCAGTAGTGATTTGGGTTGCGTGATGTCTGCACTGTTCCCTCTCCACCACTCTGCAGACGCTGCGTAAAAGACAGTGTCCCTGCCATATTCACTGCAAAATTATTGTTTTCGTTTATGATATGCCTCAGAGTTTAAATTAAATTATAAAAGTGAAGGTAAATTTAAAAAGATTTCTAGGTCTCAAAATAGTTAAAATGAGCATATTTCAATAAAAAGTTTCGGACGGATGCTGGAGGGTATCCCCCCCAAGCCTTCCTTGCAGTGGCGTAGCGAGGGTGTTTACGCCCGGGGACAAGATCCATTTTAAAGCGCCCCCTTTTCTTTTTTTTCAACTCTCAAACTCAAACCCATTATTTTTACCAATAAATAATATCAAATCACATTTTGGCGCCCCAACTAGCTTGCGCCCGGGGACATCTGTCCCCCCCTGCCCCCCCCCCCATCGCTACGCCTCTGCTTCCTTGGCCTTGGGTGTGTCCCTTTTTTCCAGTTCATGATTTGGTCACCCTACCCCAAACCCTCCTTGGGTGTGTCCCGTTTTTTTTTCCAGTTGATGATATAGTCACCCTAATCTAGGCTCTATACAGCTGTAGTATTTTTTATATTTTTACAAATGTTTGGAAATTTTCATTAAAATGCCTAGGTCAGTACCACTAATATACTCATGAGTCCTGAAAGTTAGTAATCCGATTCCGATCGTCGATTCGATAGTGATACTCGATAGACTATCTCATGATAGATTGTTGTCTAACAAATTGTTGGATGAGGAGGGCGAATATAAAAACTTGTAAGTGTAAGGACCGCGCTGGACTGACCCTAATTAATTGTACTATCAATAGCATACCCATTCGCATCTTGATTGACAATTGTGGCAGCTATTAATGAAGTAAATATAAGTATAAGGTCCTTAGTACTTAATCTTTTGAACACCCCACGGAGACGAGTGTTTACTATAACAGCGGTATTGTTTTGAATTATTGCTGGCCAGATTTTTACAAAATACAATTTGTAGGTCATCTTCAAATTGTAATTAATTTTACTTCAACTTCATAACTTAATATTTACATATGCTATAATTTTTTAATTATATAAAGAATTGTTCACTATTCTAAATTTTCTTTTTAAGTTTAATAATAACTTAAATATCTAAAATATGGTATAAGTTTTTAAAATTAGCTATTAGATGCCGTCCATAAAATATGTTGCGCTTTGCTAGGCTTGTTCTAAAAGCCCAAAAAAACGCGATCACGTCACTCCACTACTCCACTCACTTTATTGGCTCCCTATATAGGCACGCATTGACTACAAGCTCTCTGTTCGCTGTCACAACTTTTTCTCGGATTCCTGCCCTTCCTATCTAACCGATTAATTCTGTCTATTCACCCCTTCGACAGCTTCGCTACTCCGCAGACACGCGTATTCTGTCCGTTCCCAAGACACGCACTAAATTATATGGTGAACGATCTTTCTCTTTCTGCGCCCCCAAACAATGGAATTCTTTGCCACTACACATCTTCAATATACCAACCACCCAGGCATTCAAAACTGCACTTAAAACACATCTCTTTAAACTATAATACCCTGACTGATTCCCCTCCTAAACGATCCTGCTGCCTACCGTCCATGGGTTGCCTTGTAAAATTTCTGGGGTGGATGGGTGAATATACCTTTGTTTTTTTGCTTAAATGCTGTTTTTTATTTCATTTATGTATTTTATTTTAATATAATGATTATGTCTCTTTGCTAATATTTTTATGTACAGCGTGGTGAGTCCTAGGCTGGGGTACCGCGCTATATAAGACCACTTTTATTATTATTATTATTATTATATATACGCCGACGTTTGATTTTTAAAACCAGGGCTGGGCTACTGAAGGAACGTATGAGAAAGTAGATTTTTTTTTTTTTTGGGGAGTGTTCCAATCAGAAGAACTGCAATACTGATGTACTCACTCCCAATATTCCCTGGCGGGACTCTTAGCCCTTACGGGTCTCTTGGCATTGCGCCTCTATACCTGTGACAGGGATCGTCCCGACCCCGGCCATTCACAAAGCGGGATTGACCACACTTTGA